CGTTGATAAATTCCATTTGGAGTATTAGTCTGAGAAACAGTAAATGGTTAGCACTTTATAAATTTTTATCTCACTATCAGTTTGTTTTGATATAAAAGTATTTTTCTTACAGTAAGTTTTTATCTGTTGAGAGTTAAAACTGGATTTTATTTTTGCATACTTTGATACTTTTTCCACCTGTATTACTTCCACCCTTTCAAGTGGAAGTCTCCGTGATCGTTTGATAGTTGTGTTCAGAAATGTAATCGATTCAGATCGCTTCATCTTAAAGTATCTGTAACACTGAGTGAACTTGTAATGTTGATACAGTTAGTGTTCCTAATAACTTATTATTTTAACATGTTAAATAGTTATATAGATATTCACTTGATTTTCTCTCAAATCATCTGTGTTTGTAGCCAGTAAATTTGTTTTGTGTCCATTTATTATATTGGATCCATGAGCTGATCTATGTTAGACTACTATTGGAGACTTTGAAGCACTAGACGGCGGTTTCGTCCTAGCACGGGGCTCCTGATCAGTTCACATCCACAACCCCACAAGCAGGAAGTAAACTGTAGGTAATGGTCGTGCAGTATTGTGGATTGATTGAAGTTAAATGTTAAGACAGTTGAATACTGGCCTAGCGATCAGGAGTTTAGGCGTTCACGCACAGGACCGGAGGTCCTCGGTCCGGTTCTTGCCTTCAAGGTCGTGGGTGTGCATTGCTGGAGTGTCCCGTATTGGGATGAAATGGCCGTTCAGTTCTTTCATGGTTTCAATGGTGGCTTAATATTGATCGGTTCATGATTTAAATGAAATTCTACAATATCCACACTATGTCGGAATTCGCTACATGTTTTTAATTGCTGGTACCTAAAATCCTGGAAATATCATATTACCTGGATTCATGGATCTTTTGCTACCTTTGCTATCGAGCGTTCTAACTGATCCACGTCAATGGCTTTGTAATATTATCTTGTATTTGTTTTACTCAGGTTTGGATACGTATATATATATATATATATATATATATATATATATATATATATATATATATATATAATAGTTCTTAAAATATCTTTCCACAGTATAAAAATTTTACTAGCTTCTGTACTACTTAATATAAAACCTTGTTGTTTTTCATATTTAAGGTTTGTGAGAGAATTCCGCGTCATATTTTAGAGACAATGTATGGAATTAATCTTCCTAAATCACAAAATACTCAAGCAACTGATAGTTCCAACCCTATCCTGACTCCACATGAATTATTAGCTGCTCATGCATGTTAGTTTCTTTATTAGCTTAATATTTTTTCTTCATATATTTATGTGATTCATTTTTACTGTCTACTTATTTTTCTTAATTTTACAATTCAAAAATTAAGTACAGATGTTGATGTGACTAAGTTTTAGGTCAGATTCGTCGTATGATGTACATCCTATTTCCACTAAAGCAGATGAGCAGTTTTCAAGCTTATAACATATTAGCTAAAATGTGAGTGTGTGAAATGAGGTCGATCTATAATGTTTATAGCAATTGGATTAGGAAAGTGTATTTTTCTCATATATCTCAGAAGTTGAATATATTAATTAAAAGTGTTTTTTCATGTTCATAGCAGTTTATTTATGCATAGTTTTGTTTTTCTTCAAAAACTTTAGTTATGCATGGTTTTATGACAGCTAAAGGAAATCCAAACTATGATCGTTCTGCAAGAATCATTTTAAAAGATTATGTAAAGGTATGTTGGTTATCGGAATTTTCTCAATTCATTCTACTCACTAAAAATAGAAAGAGATTAGAATAGACATTTTATCAATCCCTTTTTAAACATATATATATATATATATATATATATATATATATATATATGTAGTTAATGTAAATATGAATGATTCAGTCAATCAGTTACAACGTAGAACTTCGTACGTAAGTACATCAGTTCAAGTTGCCATACCACATTAGCACAGAGATATAATTGTCAATTCAAATTCCATAGTAGTAGAGGTAGTAAACGTATTAGCAGTAGTCGGAGAGGCTAGGATTAGAAGATATTATCCAAAAAGTGGAATCTAGTGAAATAGACTTGAAAAGATAAAGATAAAGTGACGAAGAATTAATAAGTTTGGGATTTGAGAGAACACAAATAATGAATGCACCTGCGCCATTGAAAACAGTTTTGAGCCATGTCATTCAGGGTCTCTAACCATCGATTACTAACATCTCGCGGACCCCAACCAGGTAGTTGACACCTACCGACATGACTCAGTTCACTTGTCAATGACTTCATGGATTTGTTCCATGTTTTAGTCTGGCTGCCCCTAGCTTTCGTCCAAGCTATTCCTATGTCGCGAAACATAGCTCGACGTGGCAGTCGTGATAAGGCATACGCAACACATGTCCTAACCACCTCAACTGATGAAGTGTCATTACTGCATCTATTGACCTGCCATCCTTACCTTACTTGGCTGTCCCACGATAATCGATCCGAGTAAGCAATGCTGTTGTTAGGAAATGGGTGCTAGGTAAGGATGGCAGGTCGTAGAATTATGTAGAATAAAGCCCCAGCGGTTAATGCCAATCTTGGCCATCTTTGGCGCCTTCGTCATGTTAGTCTGGCTGTAAAAGGTCGGGCCTATAATGCGTCGGTGAGAGCAATTTTACTGTATGCTTGTGAAATCTGGTCTCTTCGAGTTGAAGATATTAAAAAGGTTTATGTGTTTGATCACCGTTGTCTCTAAAGGATATCTGACATTCAGTTGCAACACCATGTTAGTAATGCAGTGCTTCGGCAACATGTGTTCGGTCATAACAATGATAATTCGATTGATCTCACCATCTTGGAAAACTGACTTCGGCGGTTCGAATATGCATTACGGATGTTGTCAACGTGAACTTCACATTGTGCATTATTTACTAACCCTGGGAGTGGTTGGAAAGAGCGGAGAGGTGGTCACTGTATGACATGATGTTACAGTATGAAAGAAAGCTGCATAAGACTGGCACCTGTTGGCCCTTCACCACTACCTGATTGGGGTCTTAGAGATGGTGCAACTCAATGGCTTGAGACGTTATCGGATATGACTCAGAATATAAGCCAGAGGCGGTTCTGCTGTAACCTTTTATTTTCCTCACACAGGCAAGAGTAACATCTTTAACTGTAAGGATTTCTTCTGGTTGTATTCCCCACAACTGAACTGTTTCTCCCATTATTATCACTATCATTTCACTTTCATACACTGATATTTTTCTATTTTGTTGTTATGCTCTCTGTTCTTCCTCTATCTCTTCACAACTTCATTTTTATTTTCTGTTGCATATATATTTTGGTGCCCACTTGTACCAATATTTATGAGTTTTAAACGCACAAAGAAATAAAATGGTAAACATTAATGAACTGTGTAATAACTTTGGTAGTGATAATAATGCTTATAATAACACATAAATGACCCCCTTAGGGATAATTACTCAGCGTAAATATCTACTGCGTACTTTTATCGTTTAAATAATTCGTTTTTTAAACCTTACTAACAGGGTCAACTTTTGTACTGTCATCCTCCTCCAAACACAATTAATCCTATTGATTTTCAATCACTTGGACGAAATGACGGCTTGCCCTGTGGAGTTGGTTATTTTCTTGATCAGTCTAAAGCTGAAAGATTTCTTGAACGGTTAGGTAAAAAGCAGAAGGAAGCATCCAATAACTGTGTTGATGAAGTTATCACCGAATTTGATCGATTGGCGTTTAAACAGGTTTGTTTATGTATATGGTGTTCATACCATGTATATTTGAAACTGATCATTTCTAACTTTGTTTCACTGAACATTGGACATGTGTTCCATTTTATCCTCCTTTTCACAAGATAAACCGTTCTCCAAATACTTATTAAAATAACTACATATGATTGCAGTGAGCAGACAGCTGTTGCCTATAAATAAGTTTACAATACTTTGTAAGTTGTGCAAAAAATTAACATATTCAAAAGAGTAGTAAGCAAATAGAGCAGAGGCATCTTTGCTTGCGTCAAAACTGAACACTTTACGTGAAAATGTGTAGTGTTTTTAAACAGGAATTTCGACTTTCGAGAATCAAATAGCAAATTCATCTGTAATATAGATGATTTTCCGAGCATTCGGTTATCTGAATACAAATGTAATGTTAAGTTCACTCTGATTAGTATTATTTCCAGTACAAATCAGTGTATTTTCAAGACGTTTACATACAACAAATAGTGATTTTGCAAACTTCCTACATTTATGATGTTTGATTATAATAATTTTTGTATGTGTAGAAGCGATTGTATTCAGTGGGTTCATCAAGCTAGTATTATTTAAATTTACATTTACATCTCTAAAAATAATGCTGAAGGTTATTTGTTCAATATTGTCCTTTTAATGAGAGTTTATTGTACACACTTAATTTCGAAACTTAGTCAACGTTCATGAGTAATGTAACTCAGTAAGCGTTAATCGTGTCACCAAAACCTAAGTGTGTAGTTTTTAATGCTACTCAAGAATATTTTGACAGATGGTTAGTCGGTAAGGATAAATATCGGTTTTGTTAGCTTACTAATCGTTAAATTGACACAACTTTGTCCATCACTCTGGAAAAACTAAATTACTTCATAGTTTTGGAATTTATTAACTATATATTAAGATCTAAAACAATAGTAATTACTTTGTGATTTTTTGACATACAAAAATGTGTATAAAGGTCAGTATACTGATAAGAGGATTTCTCTTTCATATTGGAAATGTTAATCTTTGTTGTCTCTGATGGAAGCTGAATTCTTCTGAAGTTGTCGTACATACTCTACTTATTGTTTTACTGTCAAACAATATGTTCTGAAATTCTATAACATTTTTCCTTATTTAAAGGATCAACATCCACGTGAACTTATCAAATCTCATAAGCGAATGCCTGTTCTCCGTTCTAATATAGAAAAGTCAAATATCAATGATGAAATATCATCAAATGCATCTTGGAGTACTGTCGGCTCAATTGAAACTGTTAGCAATTTGTCATGTATCAGTAGTGGAACAACACCATTCATTTTAGAAGATGGTACAGTTAAAAAACCTTGGCGTTTATTAAGTCACGCTAAACGCTTGAATTCAATACATCCAACAATAGTATCAAATCAAACAGAAGCTGTAAAACATGTAACAAATCGTAAAAAACGCAAAGAGAAACTTCGTCGAGTTTATCGTTATTTAGATGAACATGAAAGGACATGAAAAAGAAAACTATTTTCTACTTCAAATGCATCCTAAAAAATCAAACGATAAATTATTAGCAATCCTATGTATATTTGACTACTTTTTATCTGAATACCTTATAAATAAATATTTTTTTGATGATAAAAGTGTTTGTTCTTTTGATTTACTGTTAATTTACTTGTTTTCTAAAATTGATTCGTTGTATTTTTCCTAGTCATTTTATTAGAGTCTATGTAATTTCCCTGATGGATTGCATTGAAATATCAGGGCATCTGGATAATTGTTTTGACTTATTTAAGAATGAAATATTTATCTAGTGCTACCAGGTTTCTAATAGTTTTTCAGTTTTCAGGTAGTCACAACTATTGTATCTAATTTGATAAGTCAAGTTGTGAATGGCATCCACTCTTTGTGTTCTGTCAAATCCTAATCTTTTGGATTCGTTAACACTTCTACCTTTGTCTTTCTAAACTTATCTCACTGAATTATACTTTTTGAATATTATTTTCAAATCCTAATATTCTCTATTAGCAGTAATTCTTCTACTATCTCTACCACTATGGGATTTGAATTGACAATTGCGTCTCTGTGCTAATGTGGTATGGTAACCTGAACTGATGTACTTACGTACGAAGTTCTACGTTGTAACTGATTGACTGACTGAATGGCAAGACTTAGTATAAAGTACACAAAGATTTGGGATTTCTCTAGTCACCGTGACTACTTCAGATTAACCATAAGTCTATTGCTCTTCAATAGTAGGTATATATAATGAAAAACATTTTCTATAGTTAGCTTTATACGATTTGTTGTGGGTTTACCATATAACTAGATCTTATATTAAAAGTTTCTTGCGATTTCGATAGTGTTCGTTATTCTTTTTTATTGTTAAGGAGCTCAAAATGGGCCTGTTATTTAGCAAATAGATATTTTACATTTTGATTAGAAACAGTTGTGTTTATGCCCAGGGAATGCAGATTTGGTAGATTTACATAGTAAATGTATCTCTGGCACAAACAGTATTAATTGTAACATCAGTGCCCCACTGCGTTAATCCTTCATAATTTTTGTATGATAGTCGGTAGTTTTATGTACACTAAGAATTTGCCCCGTTTATTCACGGAGTATTAAACCATGTTATATGTGTCTAGTTCTTATTTCTGACTGATCATGTTTTATTTTATTTTATTGATCATGTTGCAATATGGTCACTAGTTTATGTGACAGGACATTGCGTGACTCTTTCTTTAATATTCGATAGTTTTAGGAAGCCAACGCTAGTCGGTATTCATCATCAGGCGTATCTGGAATCTTGAAGAAACTAATAGTCACCAGTGCAATCCGACTGTTACAGTCAGCGATATAAATACTGAAATGTTGGCACCATGATTTGCCTGTAAGCTTTAGGTATTTACACTATTACATTAGTAAGTGTTAGTCAACATCATATCATCTGATCCTTAGTGCTCATTGAATCGTATAGATCATACTGCAGTTAGACTGCTTGACTTAGTGACTTAAAATCTCATTTAGTGATTTCTCACTTTAAAATTCATGGTTTTACTTTGACAGATATTAACTCTATCCAATTTGTTGATGTCATAATTATCTCACTCCAGTTCGACTAGATAAGAACTTTTATCACTAGATAAATTTGAAATGTAATTCATCTTTTTCGTGTTTAAGATTTTACTATATGCCTTAATCGAAGCGTTCTCACCTAAAATACTCTCGAAACCCTCAGTTTAATGAAATACAAATCAAATTATGTTGTTGTCATTGTTTCACCTAGTTCTGGTGATTAAGGACTGTTCTGTGTAGTTCACATGTTAATGTGTATTAGGTTGAAAATATTCCCATCATATTAAAACACATATATGAATGATGAATATTCTTTTCAATAAATTCTGTAATTATATATCCATATTATTTAGTTTTCATATTAATCTTTTTAACACTTACATTTTACAATACTAAATCCATACGTTGCAATGTTAAACGATGCATTTTGCTTAAGCCTGGTTAGTTTTTGGATTAATAATTTGGATAACTAACTGTAAGGCCTAGAAAGAATTCATTAAAAAATCCTTTCTGTTCATATGTCGGTTCTTTTTTAATGTTAAGTTATTTACACACCACTGACTGGTAATATTTTTTGCATACACTTGTTCCAAGGTGTTTCATTTTAGGAAATATACTACTGATTTGTAACCGAGTAGTATATTTATTTTGATTTCGTTTTTAATGTTTAATGAAAGTACATCTAGAATTTTTGACCATTTTACGTCTGTTTGATGAATGAGTGATGCATATAAGAGCGTAATTTTCACTGAAGAGGATTAAAAAACGAGTGAACCATGGATTAACGAGTATGTATCTTATCATACTTAAGCTTTTCTTGTCACAGAAGGCTTTGAGTGAAAATATCATATTTTTCACTGACGAAACTTAGTTCTACATATCAAAAGGATGTGTGAATCTGTTTGGACTAATTTATATCAGTCATACAAACATCAAAAAGGTGAGAGACTCACGAGATGATTGCAATGAAAAACGAGTGTGATGCAACTTTCCATTTCTCAAGATTCATGCACAAATCTGAAAGGATGGATAAAAATGAAAACTTTCTCTTAATTTCCGTTACATCATTTCAAACAAGATACTTCCTAATCAGCTAACTGAAGTTTCATAAAGTTATTCTGAAAAGGAAGAAAACTTCTGTAGACATACTATTCACATGATTCATTGTTTTAATGATTAGATGAAAATTACTTCCAGCAGAAAGATTTTCAATTTGAACTTTAGGTTGGGGTATCAGTATTCTATTTAAATATGCTTTGTTCTTCAGTTGTAGAAGAAGTAGCATCGGCTTCCTATCAGTGAGGTTTACACATAGAGCTTTTAAAACTGTTACACTCAATTCAATGTGTTATTTGTTAATTTCTATAAATACTCAACTAGGTACATTCAAATCATATTGTATTTACTTACTTTTAGTACCCACGTGTGACAATAGATTTTAAGCAATAAATATACGATATCAATTTATCGATCAATTCTTAACCTACTGAACTATGTTTGATTTGGGGTAAATTTTTAAAAAACGAAAGAACATCCTGGTCAAAGTGCTTTTCTACATCATTAGGCATGAATACAGTTTTGCATTTTCGTTGTTTTAATCTTATGTGGTTTCGTTTTCTTGTTTAAATTAACTAATGCTTGAACATATCAAAAATCAATTTTCTAAAATCTTGTATTTCTCTATTTTACTAACAGATTCACTTATGTTTTCTAACCATTTTATATTATCACATATAAATTGGTGTCAAATAACTAAAATATTCCCTGTGAATTCATTTATTTTATCACAATGTAAATGGAGTCATTCTATTCAACCATGCAATCAAATTAATAATAATAATAATCGTAATGATAATGTGGAAAGTAGTGAATTTCTAGAAAAGCTTAATACTGCGAAAGATAACCTTCCTAGTGGATCAACTTTATATCAAGAAGATCATCACTTTTCCCCGGTTATTTCTCCTGATCCTATATTTAATTGGGATGCTATCAAAACTAGCGTAAACGCTAGACATCTGCATGAACAATTCAATGTGGATAAAATTGTAGGTCTAATTAGTTTACTGATGATATATAAATATGTATTCCTTAATTTTAATTATTTTTCGAATAGTCTAAAATTATTTTATCAATGCTACATATTCAAATGTGCTAAAAATGAGGTCATTTAAGTTATCTGTTACTTTTACTAGTTATAGTAGTAATGTTATGATTTGATAAAACAATAAAATTTATTTTCGTTCTACAATCCCTAAGATGGTCAACACTGCCCTCATTAATATTGGTAATAAATCTCTTGTTTTGGTGTGTGCATGAGACCTTTTTACTGAAGTGTACCATTGTATATGAAAAATAAGTACATAACTCCTTGTGAGTAACTTGCATCCATCCGTATTTGTAATATGGTGTTAATTGTTAAAGTAGTCTTGTTTTAGATTTTCTGATCAGTATATAATTGGTCTTATGGTCTACAATATAATCTTTTCGTTATTGTAAGACACTCTTTTGTGTTACAGATTTTACTGTTTTTGACGTAATGTATATTTTATTATGTATTCATGTAGGAAACAGATGTATTTTCACAGTTAACATCGCGAACTGATCTTAGCTGTATTACCATTCAGGGTCTGCAAGCACTGGACGGCTGTTTCGTCCCTGGAGTGGTCATCCACAACTCTGCACGTGGGGATTGAATCCAGAACCCTCGGCTTCATAATGTAGCTCATGAAGTTCTAGTGGGGAACTGTAGTCAGTGAAATCCAATCAGTGTCCATTGTGAACCAGTTATCGATTGCAAGCAACGGATAAGTGTTGCCCAATATCATGGACTGCTAGAGTCAGCCGTCTCAGCGGTCTAGAGAGCAAGGGTTGCTGCGAGAAATTGTAGGCCTTGGGTCGGATCCCCACATGTACTCGCGCTTACCCCTTGTCCCACGCTGGATGAGACGGCCACCCAGTGTTTCCAGACTTTCAATGATGGTCTGGCTACGACCAGTTCGTGGTTTAAATTGTAGAAATCCTTTATTTGCCATAAATTTCCTATACTAATAAATGATACATGCTTTTTTTAACATGTTGATTAAGTACAAAGACACAATTTCTTAGTACTTAAGGTAGTAACCAGTTTATTTAGTTCAGAACTGAAGTTAGGATTTATCTTTAGGAAAGTTATTTTGTATGCTGAGAAAAGGTGACCAGGATTTTTTATGGGTGGAGCTTTCATCCTATCAGACTAAGTATATTATCTTCCCTATTTATCGCAAGAGTAAAGTAACAATAATAATAATAATAATAATAATAATAATAATAATAATAATAGTAATCTTTCGACGTTGATTTTTCATATATTGTTAACATATAATTGTATCTATTAATAAAATCTACTATTATTATTAAAATTTATTCTGTAGATGTCAGAAAAACGTGATTATTCTGACATTACAATATCTCATATCATATATTATAATGGTCTTGCTTTAAAATACGTCGATTTCAGTTAACTGTCTTAATTATCATGGAACTTGAAACTAATGTACACTAGCATAAGTTGCCATACTGTATCACCAATCCAAGATGAAATTAGCGAGATTAAAAACGAGGGAATTGTAATAACACTAGTACTACTGATATTATGTATGATTAATTATTAAAAATATTTTCTAAAAAGGGGATGTATGAACACTAATGGGATACGGTTTACTGGTCGACAGTTCGTCATTGTAGCAACTTCTAGCTATGAATAATAACTACGTTTTTGTGATATGTTTACGGTTGGGTGTAAACTTTTGACCAAGAATCGATATCAGTAGGGAAGCCACTGAAAATTGTAAAGCGTGGGAAAATAGTTTAGCCACAAGGCTTCACATAAAATTTAATTTAGCACCTTTACGTCTTGTAACAACATATTATCATTATGGAATCAGTCAGCCACAACGTAGAACTTCGTACGTAAGTACGTGCGTTTGTTCAAGTTGCCATACCACATTAGCACAGAGACGTCAATTCGAATCCCATAGTAGTAGAGGTAGTAGAAGTATTAGCAGTAATCGGAGAGACTAGGGTTCAAAGATATTGTTCAAGAAGTATAATCTAATGAAATAAACCTAAAAAGCGAAAGATTAAGGAGATGAAGAATCCAGAGGATTATGATTCGAGGGAAGTCAAAGAATGGTTGCACCTGCGTCATGGCAGACGGTTTTAAGCCATGTTATTCAAGATCTCTAACCATTGATTACTATCATCTCTTGAACTCCAACCAGGGTGTCTACACGTACCAATACGACTCCATCCCGTTTTCAGTGACTTCATGGATTTGTGCTATGTTTTGGTTTGGCCGCTCATAGCTTTCTTTCAGCCTACTCCTACGCCCAAAAACATAGCGCGATGAGACAGTCAGTGGTTGGGTATTCGTAACATATGTCCCAACCACCTTAACTGATGAAGTTTCACTACGTCATCTGTTGATCTGCCATCTTTACATAGTAGCCGTTTCCTAACGACTGCATTGCTCACTCAGTTGTCTCGCAAGATACGAGCAATGCTTCTGAGACATCTACTTCTGGTCTCCTGAATGCCCGTTCTAAACTACGTGTTGGAGCTTTTAATATCCCAAGATTGTGTCAAATAAGACAACAGGCTTTCTTAGCTAGGATTTTAGAATCTCACGCCATCGATGTATGTTGCGTCTCGGATGCTCGAACACAGGATCCGAGTAGCGTCATTCATTTGACCTCATCATGCCTAGATAAAAAGCAGCTCGGTTTACTCTTCGTGTATCCGGTGGCCCTGATGCTGCTTCCTGGGGTCCCACTGGTGTATGTATAGAATTGAGTCGTAGGGCGGAACTAGCTCTCCTAGACTGGATCCCAGTAGATAGTCGCTTGTGCGCTGTCCGACTGAACGGGACAGTAAGGATTCGTATAGGTAGGGTCACTCGCCGTAGACTCTTCGTTGTCTCTGCCTACCTTCCCACTGACCGTAGTTCAGACGAGGTGAAAGATGAGTTTTACAAAAAGCTTTCAGACCTCCTCCAGAAAGTTAGGCGCTCTGGTATTGTAATAATGTCTGGTGACTTTAATGCTCAAGTGGGTAGACTCAGTAAAAAGGGAAAACACCTGGATGGATCTTAAGGTGTCGTGGCTCAAGGATCAGATAATGGCGACCGTCTGTTGCAACTATGCTCATATAATCGCCTATTCTTAGCGAACACTAACTTTAAGTATAAGGAAAAGTATCTCTTGACCTGGAGGCCCCCAAAGCCGATCTAACGCTGGACACAACTAGACCATATTGCTATCAGCCATCGATGGACAGGCTCCGTTGAAGACTGCCGTCTAGTCTGGAGTATATGTTTAAATTCAAACCATGCTCTAGTGCGAGCGCGTATTTGTTTGAGTCTTAATGGACGTAGGAAAGACACCACAAGGAAACCTGTTGGGGTTCTACTTAATGATAACAAAGCTAAGTATATATTTCAGGAGCAACTAGGAAAACAGTTAAGCGGCGATGTAAGCGATTCCCATCCGGAGGCAGCTTGGAATGATACCAAAAAAGCTGTGAAAACAGCAGTAATATGTGATATTAAGGTAAACCATATGGCTAGGGAGAAGCCATGGATCTCAGTAGCATCCGCCTAAATGATGGATACTCGAAAACTCATCCCACCTGGATGTGGACATGAATAAGAGCTAAGTCAGCTTAGGCATAGGCTGATAAAAAGCCTTCGCAATGACCGAGAACAGTGGTGGGTAGAGAAATCAGCGGAGATGGAAACGACAGCAGCGATAGGTAACAGTAGCCAACTATTCAGACTCATCAAGGAAACTGGTATTAGGAATCCGAATGTGAGTGAAACTATCTTTGAAAAGGATGGTCTTACTATCCATTCTCAATCCAGGATAATAGATCGATGGGCAGAACACTTTAGGGATCAGTTCAAATGGCTTTCAGCCACACTTCGGTTACTCACGATCTCCAGTCATCCTGAATGGCAAGTCGACGCAAGCCCTCCTAGTCTTTATGAAGTTGAAATAGCTATAGGAAATCTGAAGCAAGGGAGAGCAGCAGGATCTAATAGATTTACCCCTGATATTTTTAAGGATGGTGATCCATTTTAAGCAGTTAGATTGACTGAGATTTTAGGTAGAATATATAAGAAAGGTCAAAAGTCCTCTTGTGGCAATCACAGAGGAATCCGTTTAACTAATATAGTGTCTACAATGTTAGCCTCAATAATACTTAGACTCCTAACTAGTGCCCTTGAAGAGTAGACTCGAAAAAAACCAGGCTGGTTTTCGACCAGGACGTGGCTACGCTACGACAGGTCCTGGAACACATACACACACTTAGGCGTTCTACAATAGTCGTCTTCCTGGACCTTAAGGCGGCATGATAACGAAAAGCATACAAGTAAAGCTAAGCGAAGTGGATAAGGCGATTGAGCCAACTCCTTTTGATGAAGCATGACTAAGAATTTGTAGTCGGAAAAAATAAGCCAGACATGTAACAAGCCAGATAAGCGTGCACACACAAATAAAAGAAACACAGATATGAGTGAGTGACTGACAGGATCAAAAGACAAGTGCGACGAGCCCTGTGAGCTAGACATGAAAGCACCCATTTCAAGTGGACCTTTTACCAGGAGATTCGCCTGTATACTTAGAATATGCCGATGGCATAATTCTATTAGGCGAAGACGCTGACAAAATGCAAAGTCTTCCGACCACCCAAAGCAACAATGTAAGCATGTTTGGGATGCGATTCTCCCTCTCGAAATGCAAAATGTTGCTTCAAGATTAGGTTGTATCGGCATCTGAACTAGTGATAGGGAGTGAAGTAGTTAAGCTTGAGTCTCATCAGTGCTGATGTCTGACAAAATCTCAGCACGGATACATAAGGCTCGACTGGCTTTTGCTCACTTGGGTCAGTTATGTCGTACACCAGATGTCTGTCTGCTAACCAAGAGGACGAATCTGCTGAGCAGCAGTTCGCTCCGTCCTACTATTTGGGTGCGAAGCATGTTCAGTAAGAGTAGAAGATATGCATAGGTTACATCAAAGTAACATATACGTTCGAAATTATCGAGTCTTCGAATCAAAATAATTTAATTCTTACTTTTCATTCTAGTTAATCATGAATAGTTGTTATTCAGTTCATTATGTAAATTATTATTATGATTTCTTAAACTGTACCTAATTTCAAAAAAAACTTATCGATTCATCAATCAAAAATTAATATAAGTTTTCACTTTTTTGTTGCTCTTATTTGTTTTTCTGTTTACCTATTATACTTCATTGTAAACCTGTGCAAGATGTTCAAAATTTTTTTAAAATTTATAACAATAAATATTTAAATGTTTTGTTTCCCGCCAATAAAAACAAACAATTTTATCCTGTTTTTTTTCTCTTAATAGATAGATTTAAAAATACAAATTGATGGTTTACACGACAAATTAACTACTTTAAAACAAAACAGAATTTCTCTTTGTGATCAATATAAACACAATAAAAAGGTATACGCCTAATTGTTTTCGCGTGTTTTCTTTTCTTTTCTTCTCTGACAAATTTCAATAATTTTTGGCGTTTTTTCTCTTAACAGCAAATGATACCACTGTATCATTAATAATATAAATATATATTATTTAGTGAAAGATACTGAAAATGACAGAAGCAATGTTAATGACAGATTGTGTAGTATGTATGTTAAGTAATACTTATTGTTTTATAATTTTATAGTCAGAATTAGATGACAGGATATTGAAATTTGATTTGTTAGGTTTATTTCACTGAATAAATTCGATTAATGAGACAGACATTCTCCTTAGTTGAGTTGGAGGCAAATCAGTAAATGTATGAAACGCAACCATCAAATATCGATATGTGTATTTGATTTTGAATTGTATGTTTTGTATGATAGTGAATGACTCTGCTCAAATTTTACTGATATTGCATTCTATCACTTAGATGCTTAAATTGTTACTCATTGATTTTCCCTCTGGATAACACTATCAACGACTATTCTATGTAGAAGTGAACCTTCCTGTCCATTACATAAATATTACGCTATTTCGTTTTTATCATCTTGTGTTCATTTTGTATAACATTCCTGTTTATTTAGCAGAATGAAGACGTTCTACCGAAGAAAAAAACTTTTATTTTCGACGATATCATTTTTTGAAACTGTACAATTGTATCTATACGTCATTTTCCATGTAGCGGTTCTATTTACTATTATTTACGGTTGACCTCTGACCATTTGATTGATTGACCATGTCTGTATGGGTTGATATATCGGATCTATGTCACTATATTCATTAATTGCTAGTTCATATGAATGTTATACTTCAAAGAATGCATGTTTATGATTTGCTCTCTGTATTGATATCAATAATAAGATACCGACCATGTCGCTTAACTGCCAATCTATGTTCATATATGTGTAGATAATTGAGGCACCGATTTTGTTCAGTGTATTGTTTATTACATTTGATGTAATTCATTTTGTAGATGCAGTTACATTTAACTTCTAATTTGACATTTGTGGAATAATTGAAAAGTTTACTCATATAGAGGTGTCTAGAATGACAGTCATAGCTTCATCATTAAATCATGTCTGAGAATGGGATACCATAGAAAGCCTTTTGACTTACAAAATATATTTTATTGGAGTTGAGTGAAGGTTGAATTATTTGATGATATTATTATACTGTAAACTATAATTACTTTTAAATCACTT